ATAAACTATACATGCATTTAAACCACAACAACCACATTCCATACAAGATTTAGGCCACTAGAACCTCATGTTTAACATAAATCTCCTAAGGGGTAAAACATACATTCATATTTTAAATGATCAGACAAATATTACATTAACATAAAACTAACACATGTTCTAGTATCTCGACCTTTCACAACTAATGCAACACAAATACAACATTTCAAGCTATGATACCCACAATTTACAACAAAAATCATGCAAGTATGTCACAAAATATATATGGTTCCTAAGTTGGTATATGCATATACAATTCATTATAAAATCAAAATAAATGAGAAGGAATATACAATTACTGGCTAGTCCCCTCGATGATCGGTAACATCTTCCTTTCCTTGCCTTTATTGGAGCCTTTTCCTGTAAAATATAACCATATGGTGAGCCAAAGACTCAGTAATCAAATAGTCTAATCAAATTACACGTGTATGAAAACAGATAGTGCGTATGTGATGTGACATTATAAATATATATTAAGTCATATATCCGCACATATGGTTATGATATGATTTGCATGATCAACATACCACCTTATATTCTCCTTGTGTCTTCCGACTGAATTTATGGGCTAACAATTCGATAGGACTAAGTTCATATAACTGGATTAGCCTAAGCTCACTATTAGTAAGAGGTAACCTTGGCCAAAGGTGCTTTCACCCATTATAGATCACAAATTTTTCTTGTCCATGAATACTAGGGGTGTCGATGCCCAATCTACCTCATATAGTATTGGACTTCCAAACAATATAATATTGTGTACTGGAGCCTCCACGATGTCAGTATACTATATGAATTTTCAAACAACATCCTTAATCATACACTAAGATGAACTCCCACATTCTCACAATGATTATGCCAAACACATGCTCAATGAATCCATACATCATCATAACATATAATTTTCTACAAGTTTTCATTTCTACTTTAATATAGTTTTGCAAATAATTACACTTAAAAATAGCATTTTGCCTTCGAAAACTACAACACTAAAAATATAACTTTTCATTTTACTTAATATAGGGTCTTTAAACCATAATCATTTCATAATAACACTATACTAGTACAAAATAAGATCATTAGCTTCACAAGTAAACATATAACCATCCAAACACTCAAATAGAAATATTAGATAATTTGGTTACCCCAACCCTTTTATCACTAAAAGGATTACCGTGGTCAGACAACAGCATGTATCCACTAGCACACAACGCTTAAACAATAGCTAATCTACAAGATTAAATTCTAAATCATCAATCCACATAATAATTATCCTATTTATAACACAAATTTGGGTACCCATCAGACCTAAAACCTAGAGCATAAAAATTCTCCTAACACACTTCATTAATTCTATTCAATACCCTAATACTTAAACAATATCATTTTATTACCCATGTTGCTCTAAATCTCTCAATTTCAATTTAGGGTTTGTCCAAACCGTAATTAAAAATTTCAAATCACTATGTAATTTATAAATATAGGTTTAGAGGTTTAATTTAACTCTCTAAAACCTTAACTAAGCCAATGGGTTCAGTCATTGCCTAAGAACAATTGAAATCTCATCCTAAAATACCTCCAAACTCTTAGAAATTCAAGTGTAAGGAGAATGAGAGGTGTAGGAAGCTTACCCAAGGATAAATCTTACCCCAAAAGCTTTCCAAATTAGCCTAGAGGTTATGCCCTAGTAGTCAATGGTCATTTCCCATTGCCTCCTCACAATTTCTCTTATCCCACTTTTGATTTTTGATCTGATTTGTGAGTATGATAAATGTTGATTTTGCAAGTACTCCGTAGTGCATGGCACAGAAAGCCTTCTTCACTATTTAAATTTTTCTCCTTGCCATGGCTCGCTCAAATTCAATTAAGCTCTCTTTTAAGGCTGTCTAATGAGCCATTAATTACATTATCTCTTAAAAATATCATCAATCAAAAATTCACTTAATTTTACCATTATACTCTCTAAAACACTAAAAATTCCCAAACTTAAAACCTAGAATGTTACACAATCATTCAAGCCATCCTCTTCTATTCTCTCACCTTCTCTTACTAGTTCTTCCATTATTCTTTATTGACCAACCCAGATAGGGACTACGTTTTGGGCCACCTGGGCTTCCAGCAGGTATACAATTTAACCTTCAAAATAATGTGCATGTATAGTGTAGAGCGAGCTTGCATGTGATCCATGTAGTTTGACCTGAAACAAGCAAAACAAATAGAGTTAGGTGGTAAGCATTTGAATTCAATAGCGGAGCCATGCACAACCCCTCACATGGAGAAAATTGCACATGTAGTATGAGAAATTTATAACCTTACACCCTATATTTTTAACCTTTTGAACTCTTCAAGCTCTATAAAAAATATTTGGGGATCTAAATTTAAACTCCACATCAACCTTCTCAGCATATTTTTGGTAAAAAAAATCTCAATATATTTTGCCCAAATAAAAATATGTATAATTTTACTTATGTTATTATATTTTTTGCCTAATGTAATTAATTTTAAAAATTAAAATATTTTTTTAATTATTTATTTTTAAATTGTATTGTTTTGCACCCCTGACTTGGGGTCTTGGCCACGCCATTGTTTGCATTGTATCTGGGAAATTGACGTGTATGGGGTAGGATGGATAGGCAGCAGTTGCATGTTTAGTGGGCAAAATAATACGGCTATACTTCTCGGCCTAGTGGTGCATGCCAGGGCAGAGCTTCATTCCTAAACTCATAGGCACATGCTACAAGATCAAGCAAACATTGGTAGAAAAAGGAGAGGAAGACTTTGAGATTGTGCTGATATCGAATGATAGAGATGAGGCATCGTTCAAGTCATATTTTGGAAGCATGCCATGGTTGGTGTTTCCATATGGAGAAGCAAAGATGAAGAAGCTGGTGAGGCACTTGGACGTGTAAGGAATATCATCCATAGTGATAATAGGTTCAGATGAAAAGACGATAACGAAACACGACAAGAAGATGATGAACTTGTATGGAGAGAACGTGTACCCATTCACGCATGTGAGAGTAGAGTCGCTGGAGAAACATGTAGAGCAAGAGTCAAGGGGGCTTCCCAGATAGGTGAGTCATGAGAGCCATCATCACCATCCGAGTTTGGTGTCTGACGACACTGCATGAGGGCCCTTCAAATGTTGTGCGTGCAAGAAAAATTTGGATTCAATGACTACAAATATTGAGTGCCTTTATTATCTAAACTATTAAAATTCATATCAACAATTCATATAAATTCCTTCATTTATTAATTTCAAGTGAAATATGAATTTAGAATTGTTGATATAGATATTAATAATTTAAATTATACAAGCACTTAATCTTTATATTAAATTCAACCATTAAATAAGGCTCCAGCTAGGCCTACCATCCTCCAGTGTGGCATCCGAGTGCATCCAAAGCACATTACGCTCCGCATCACTAGCCACTTGCTCTACCCATCATTCATCCCTTCATGCAATTCCCTTTCATTGTAAACTTCAGACATCCAGGTATCTACTTTCGTTAATGATCGTCTAGTTGCTAATCAAATGTGGGATTTTAAAAAATAACTTTAAAATTAAGAATATGTACTTTTTTTGAATTTGAGAAAGATATATTTTCCATGCATTGTACAAATTAAAAAAAATTTAAACGACTGCATATATTTAGGCATTTAGCGATGTTGATGACAGGCAGAGAAAAGAATAAGAATAATGAAAAAAAATCTATACAATTTTCTCATTTTTCCGTTGCTCTTTCACTATATATATAGTTATATTATTATAAAAAATCATTTAATATCCACCTATATGTCCTAAGAATAATTCACGAACTTCTAACGTGAAAAGCATATTTAATACTAGCTGAATTTTCTTTTATTTTTTTTGACCACTAATACTAGATGAATTTTTAAACCAAGGAATGATGATATGTATTAAGAGAAATAACATTCAAAGACCGTCGAGGAAAATTAATATCAATCAAAGATCAGTTGATTTAAAATTGTACTGCAGTCCCTTAATCCTTGACTGATATTAATTTTTAAAGTTAAAAGTTTAAAATATCCCTTAGGTTAAAAAACAAAACAAAAAAAGAAACTCGACCACCGCCGGCGCTCATTATAGAAATAAAAACAGCATAATAAACTGAGCTTATCTAACTTGTTTATATATATATGTGTGGTTAAAATACATAAAGCTTTTTTAAATTTTGAAGCTGTTACATATGACTCTTATCACTTTTAAAAGTTTAAAATTAACCCCTTTAAATTTTAATTATTTTTTTCAAAGCCCCTACCATTAATTATATTATTTTTTCATAAAATTTAACATGTTATTTAACTAAAAAATGTTATGAAAAAATATTATATTGTAGAACTATAATATATAATATCTTGTTTAATAAAATTTTAGTTAAATGATATTTTAACCCTTATAAAAAATAATATAATTAACTGTAAGAGGCTTTGAAAAATAAAATTAAAAATTAGGAGGATTAATTTTAAATGTTTAAAGGTGAGAAAGGTTACATGAAACTATTTTAAAATTCAAGAGATTTTATATATTTTAACCTATATATATATATATAAATATGAATAAGTTAGATAAACTTAGTTTATTACGCGGTATTAATTTCTATGATCGGATGTCCCCGAAGGGACGATTTTATTTCCATAATCAATGGATCGAAGTTTTGTAAATTCATGAAAGAAATGTCATTAAAGGAAGCGTAGGAAAAATAAAAAGAGAAAATAAAAGAAAAGAAGCGGAGGGTTTGAGCAAGATAAGGCGGAGATGCAAAGCGTGGATGGCAATATAATGTAAAAGGAAGGACTGGCAGACGATTTTGAATCAGATGCATGGCTTCCCGCTCCACTCATACCAATGCACAGCGAGGACTCCTGGAATCGGATTTCTTCTTGAGCGCAAAGCCATGTAGTTATTCTCTTTAATTTGGCCGCTCACCAAAGGGAATTGAACAAGAAATGCGCCCCGTGCATCTAAATATAAGCTCCAATTAATGGGAGCGAAAAGGCAACAAGATTAAGCTGAGAAATTAAGTACGAGCCATGGGACTTGGTTTCTTCAAGGCGCTTTGCTGCAGCAACTCGCGCCACGAAATTCCCATCCACTCATCCGACTCCCCTCCGCCAGGGGAATCCAGGCGGAGGAAGCCAACGACAACTTACGCGGTGGGGCCGGTGCTGGGGAAACCGTACGTGGACATAGGGAAGATGTACGAGCTGGAGAAGGAACTGGGGAGGGGGCAGTCGGGGTGACGTATCTGTGCACAGAGAAGGCGACGGGGAGAAAGTACGCGTGCAAAAGCATAGCGAGGGGGAAGCTGACGAGGAAGGAGGAAATAGATGACGTGCGGAGAGAGATACAGATACTGCAGCATCTGTCGGGGCAGCCCAACATAGTGGAATTCAGGGGCGCCTACGAGGACTGGCAGAACGTGTACTTGGTCATGGAACTCTGCACCGGCGGCGAGCTGTTTGACCGCATCATCGCCAAAGGCAATTATTCCGAGAAGGAGGCTGCGGCGCTGTGCCGCCAGATCGTCACGGTGGTTCACGTCTGCCATTTCATGGGAGTCATGCACAGGGACCTGAAGCCCGAGAATTTCTTGTTGGCCGGCCCCCACGATGATGCCCCCATCAAGGCCACCGATTTTGGACTCTCCGTCTTCATCGAGCCCGGTTTGTCCTCTCTCCCCTCCTTCTCTGTCCTTTCTTCAGCCCAACCCCATACGCTGTTGGGCTTTACTGCTCATGACTAATGGGTAAACTTAATTGGGATGGCCTGGGTAGAAATAGAACACAACATCGGTCCGGTGGGGCCGAGGGGCATCGGGCATAGTATAACCGTCAAGTAGAGCGTAGTAAAACAAGAGGACACGTAATTAGAGGAGCGAAACGCATGGTTGAGTAACGTAGTGTTAACATAAAGGGAACGATGCTGAGGAGGACCATGGCGGGGGACAAAGCGAAGCATCGCGTTCGCGGCACTCTCCTTCGCAAGATGCTCTTCCATTCCCGACTTGTTCAACAGTAGTGCTCCCCATCTCTTTTAAAAAAGAAATAAACAGAATGGGGTCATGCTTTAGCAAATCCTCCTCCGATTCCCCAATCCATCGTCACTACCGCCAACTTCCCAAGAGAAACCACCATCCTCCTCATCCATCCGCCCCCTCTTCCTCTCACCCTGAAGTCGGTCCCGTTCTGGGCGGACCATATTTTGACATCAAAACTCTCTACACTCTGGACAGAGAATTGGGAAGAGGCCAGTTTGGCATCACTCATCTCTGCACCGAAAAGCTCACCGGCCTCAGGTACGCCTGCAAGTCCATTTCCAGGAGAAAGCTGACCAGCAGGAAGGGAATTGAGGTTGTGAAGAGGGAAATTATGATCCTGCAGCACCTCACGGGGCAGCCCAACGTGGTGGAATTCAAGGGAGCTTACGAGGACTGGCATCACGTGCATTTGGTTATGGAGTTGTGTTCCGGTGGGGAGCTTTTCGATCGGATTATTGCCAAAGGGGTTTACTCCGAGGACGAAGCTGCCATCATATTTAGGCAAGTCGTCAACGTGGTTCACGTTTGTCATTTCATGGGGGTGATGCACAGGGACCTTAAGCCCGAGAATTTCTTGTTGGCCACGAGGGACCCCAATTCTCCCCTCAAGGCCATGGATTTTGGCCTCTCTGTCTTCATTGAGCCAGGTTTGCTCCCCCATGCGTTTTCCCAATTTCTGCGATTCCTCTCCTTCCCCTCTCTTGCATTTTCTTCCGTATTCCTTTTCATTACCTTTCATTATTTAAAAGAATTTAGACTTCCAACTATTATTCTTCTCTCTTAAATTTCAATCCATCTGTGAATTACGCGATGAGACGAGCAATGAAACCATGGACTGAGACACCTTTTGTACTGTCCACTGAACAGCATTTCTTATGAAGGGTAAAATGTTTGGGCCATAACCTTTAAAGCATTTCCTGGATATATATATATTTTCTGTTTCCATCTCTATCTTCCTTCCGTGTACACGGAATCTAATAACCTGTTGCATTTATAATACGATCAAAATAATCTTAAGAATGTTCACGGAAAAGAAAAAAAATCTTGAGAATAAAATAATTTTTTAATCAAAAAGACGTATTTTTAAAAATTATATTAAAATTTTCTATTTTGATACTGAATTTACAAAACCAGTTATTTTTATATTAATGAATAACGAAATTATATATACTATATACTTAGCTTTTGTTGTATATTTATATAAATAATGACATAATAATTATAACACTGTTGTAATTAAAATAAGTGTCATTATATATATATATCTGTGTGTGTGTGAATTTATTTTTTCAAAGTCAATGCATCTTAACATGAGAGAGTGCATGTCTTTAAAATGAAAGGAAAGTATGCTCTGTGTTGGGCATAATTGAGAGTGAAATTTAAGCCGATAAATTTCAAGGACTTGTGTCAGGATGGGGGATTCACCAGGTCGTCGATTAAAAGCAAAACGAGTAGTCAACCTAGTAAACGGTCTTCTGTACGAAAGTGACAAGTAAACGGAGTAAACTGGTTCACATTTAGGGGGGGACAAAAGAGGGGGTGGGGGGGAGCAGAGGGCTGATTTCAAAACCACAAATTAGTGGGACCATCGTGGTCACTTGTTATTTTCTGGGACCATGCCTTAATTTAATAATGACACTTGGAAAATATGCAACACGATCAATAACTTCGGGAAGCGAGCAAGGTTAAAACATGATATCAAGGACATTCTGAAATGGAATATCGAGCTGGCCCCTCTAGATACTGATCAAGAAACACGTTATCTACTTTTGATGGTGCCAGCAGCAGCAAAATGCCTCAGGACAAGAGTTCAGTAGAGAAAGCATCAGCTAGGAATTTCAATTCGTTTCTTTCCTAGCAAGTTTTTATAAATCTATTTTTCTAGTGTACTAATGATCAAAAGATTTGATGCAGATAAACAGTATAAGGAAGTTGTAGGAAGTGCGTACTATGTAGCCCCAGAGGTTCTAAAACGGAGTTATGGGAAGGAGATAGATGTGTGGAGTGCAGGAGTCATTTTATACATCCTCCTTAGTGGGTCGCCTCCATTTTGGGCTGGTAAGTGCAATGCCTGAGCTCCGCAATTATGCAATGTCTGTTTCACTCTTTTGTTCCTTAGCCATTTGTTGTGTTCAGTTTTATATCTTTGTTTTAACAAATTTTAGAGAACGAGAAAGGCATATTTGATGCTATTCTGGAAGGCAAACTGGATTTTGAAACCGGACCATGGCCTTCTATTTCAGCTTCTGCCAAGGATCTGATCAGTAAGATGTTGGAATACGATCCAAAGAAACGCATCACAGCTGCTGATGCCCTTGGTAAGCACGTTTTGTGTTTAAACACATAATCTTCCATGTTATAGACAGTTTCGCCGAGAACTTTATCCTGATGATTTTAGATGTAAGATACGTGAAGTCGGCACCGCTGTGTAGACCCCTACAAAAATAAGTTGTCGTGTTTAATACATAAACCAGCTTTTTAGCACAGAAAAATTATAATTATTATGATGCATTTGAAATAGAACATCCATGGATGAAGGTGGGCGGTCAAGCATCTGACAAGCCTATAGACAGTGCCGTTTTGATTAGGATGAAGCAGTTCAGAGCAATGAACAAAATGAAGAAACTTGCCCTGAAGGTAACTTTAAGCTTTCTTTTTTGACAGTGAATTACAAATAGTTTATTTCTGGATTTGGAGCTAGAGTCAAATTCTTCAGTCTTCCTAAGAAAGCCCAAATTTCAATGCCACCGGAAAGAATGCATGTCCATTTCCCACAGAATGTCATCTGTTTGATTCGCGGAACACTTGGATATAAAAGATCGTGTCAGGAAAAGTGATTTTAGTTTACCTCTTGCTTCCCCCTTTGGCCCATAGTAATCGAATGCTGGATTTTTGGAAGGTAATAGCAGAAAACCTCTCTGAGGAAGAAATCAAGGGCTTGAAACAAATGTTCAACAACATGGATACAGATAACAGTGGTACAATCACACTGGAAGAACTCAGAGTTGGACTGTCCAAATTGGGATCCAAACTTAATGAATCTGAAATACGGCAGCTGATGGATGCTGTAAGTTCTGTTTCGGTGGAATTAATGGGGAAAACAAAGTTATTTAATTGATAAATATTTTGAGCCTCTTCTAATAATGTTGTAAGGGATGATGCATATTTTTTGGTGGTTGTGGTGTTTTCAGGCCGATGTTGACAAGAATGGAACTATTGATTATTATGAATTCATAAGTGCTACCATGCATCGGCACAGACTTGAGAAGGAAGAGAACTTGTTCAATGCCTTCCGATACTTCGACAAGGATAGCAGTGGGTCAGTATACATGGAAATGCATATGCTTAAATGGACCACCTTGGCTGTTAAATAAACAAGTTACTGTGTTACTGAGTGTTGTTTTTCAATTGGGCGATGTTGATCAGATTTATTACAAGAGAGGAGCTCAGGCAGGCTTTGACTGAACATGGAATGGGGGATGAAGCTGCAATAGATGAAGTGATTGACGACGTGGACACTGATAAAGTAAGTTGCATTGCATTGGTTTCTTGGTTATACTGCATTTTGCAAGATTTGATGAGCCTGGAGCATTCATTTCTGAGTGCAGGATGGCAGAATCAATTACGAAGAGTTTGCGGCCATGATGAAGAGCGCGGGATAAGACGAGTGAGCTGGAGAGAATGAATGAGTCAATAAGCCAAAGGCATGACGGATTTCGATTGCTATTACTCATCATCCCATGTGCTCCCTCACAGTTCATTGTACGTTGCCATTTCCACTCTCAATCGCTTCTATCACTATTCTCTCATGCTCTGAATAAACTTCCTATGCCGTGTTTCCCAGATGTTCAGTAATTTGTTATGCTGCGAATCTGTCTTTTTATCTTTCTATTAAACCCACCCCATGCATTACATATGGGACACAAACTTAAAATTAATTATGAGTAAATACACTTAATTTCCCTATAGTTCGTGCAAATAATGAGGACTGTCAACAAAGCTTAAATGGAAGCAAATAATTGGAAGGAATTTCATTGGTTTGACGGATCAAAATATCGTTGACGAAACAACATTGACGCCCCTTTTGGTTCATCAAACAAAAGCACGCTCAAAACACAACAAAATATTAAGATTGGACAAATTTGTGCTTAGTCTTGATATTTTGAAATTAGAAATTTGTAAATTTCTTTTAAGCTTGCTTAGGGAAAGCTTAAAAATGAAGTAAGTAAAGCACTAAATAATCTCATTTTCTCTCACATTCTTTCTATGTAAAAGCATTTTATTGTTATTCCAAAAAAAAAAATTAAATTTGATCTAACTAACATTTAAATCATAAAACTAATAGAAATAATATACAACGCACAGCATCATCAATGTGAGTAGATTTATAAAGAAAAGGAATTGGAGGATTATTACCCTTCTTTAGATATCCCCAATGGAGTTGGCTTCCCTCTTCTTATCAATCCCTCCTTCTCCTCTCCCAATTTCTCCACTGTTGGATTTCAATTTCAATGATTGAAATTCGTTTGTATTATAAAATTATTATTATGTTAAATAATAAATTTTTATAAGAGTAATGTTAAATAATATATTATAAAATTTAACAATTTAAATTTATTGAATTATTTGTTATTTAATATTATTATTATAATAGTTTTATAATACAATAAATCTCAACCATTTAAATTTAAAATCCACCTCCCCAAAAGTTAAGAGGAGAGGAGGAGGAAGGGAGTTGGCTCCCATTACGAAACTTCATGACAATTAATGCTTTATGGATATTGGATAGGCTTTGATTCATGGTTTTTGGATATATTTTCTTCGATTCTTATAAAATATTTTTTAAAAAGTATAGATGTTTTTAAATATAATACATTAGGTAGGATATTAATTACATTTTTTTAACATAACTTTTATTTATTGAAACTCATTATAACTATTTGAGGAAATGTAATGTAGATTTGAAATTTTTTTTCATTTAAATATGGGTATAATTGAAAGTTCATTTATTTTTGATAAAGTTAATAACTTAATTTGTTTCTTTTTAATCTCAATGAGATGGTTAGAAATACTTTATAATAAAGATCGGGGTGTACGTTATTGTTTTTAGATATGTTAATGAGACATATGTTTCCTTGACATACAATATAGTAAATAAAAGAACAAGATAAAATGAGAAATTCTTGCATGGACTAGTACACTACATTATTTATACTCTATCCAATAAAATTATATCATTTCAATCAAATAAAATTTTATATATCATTATTTTTAATTTTTTTTGAATAAAGAGTCACTTTAATTTTTTTTGATTTTTCTCTCTACACTATCCATAATAGCATAATCACTTTATATTTATAGTTATCTGACATTGTATATTTTTATTTGATAATCTACAAGTAATGTGGTACATTGAGTCTATATGAAAATTTCTCAAATAAGATACAATAAGTTAAAAAGGTGAGAGACTTTGCTTTTGAAAATTAAAAATTGTGTTAAATTTTGTTACCATAGTGAAGACACAATGCAAATGGCCTTATAATCTAGTGACAATTGAGTATTGACATGTATGCTTTCTTATAAATAGAAAGTTATGAGTTTGATTCTACTTGTAATTTCAAGCCATTAATGCTTGCCTCTCTAATTCAAAAAAGAAGAAGATATAATTGACTAATAAAATATATAAAATAAACATATTTAGTGTACACATTGAGTGTTAATTAATATTTTTTTATGCATATGAATGCATATTACTCCTCTAGTTTTAGTTAATAGGACACAGGGAAAAGATTAATTTAGTTCTTATTTATAGGATGTTTCACTATTTTTTTATATTTATCTTTACATTTCCATTCTAATTATTAAATGCCAGAAGAAATTATTAAAAATAATAGTTCTTATATTTATTAGTGAATAGAAGTGAAACTTGTTAAATTTTAAAATAGAGTTAATAAAATTTAAATTTTTTTAATTCTAATAAAATGTGTTAAAAATAAGTTATAAATAAAAACAGAGGAAATAGAATAGATGAGTGGGAGCATTGCAGTCGAAAGAACTACACAATGAAATACTAAAATATGCGAAGGTTAATCGTTGCGGCTGCACTCGGTCTGGCCAGCGTTTCATAGGAAGAAATAGAATTTCAGTGAGAAGGATCCATGGGCATGCACGTGCGTTCCTTCATAGATAAACGTAGACCTCTCTAATTACTTGCTTACGCTGGCTGCGTATTAATGCAAGCTTCTCCTAATACGCTATTAATTACTAGTATTACTCCTACTGTCTTACATTACATGACTGTTAATAACCTAAGATAAATTAGGTAAGGTAGATTGAAGAAAAAAAATGAAAATTATTCTATTCTTATTTTTAAAAATAAGAACGTAAAATAATCTTATATTTAATAATTATAAACTGCCGCAACTTCTCTACCACTGCTCCGCTGTTAAACATCTATTGCTAATTACCAACAACAATCACTGACAATCTCCACCAATTATCACTATTGGCAAGAGCTTTTGACTGCCACTATCATCAGTTGCGGTCCTATTCAGTGATCATCAAAATGAAGAGCATCGTGTAACAGCCCTTTGGGTCACCTCGCCTCCTCGAGATCTTTTCCCAACGCTAGACACTCTCCCCTTAGGCCCCACAACAAGGGCGACCCCACCCCTTACGGTGAGCGTTAGGAGACAAAGGCTTCTCGCAGTAGTATGCGGATTATTCCCCTTGTGGAGAGCCTCCCCAAACTCGAACCCACAACCTCCTACATAGCAAATGTTGAGGCAGAGTCTGGTACTATTGAGTAAGGAAAGCTTTGTCTCCTGATACTCACCGTAAGAGGTGGGGTCGCCATTGCTGTGGGGCTTGGGGGGAGAGTGTCTAGCGCTGGGAAAAGACCTCGGGGAGGCGGGGTGACCTAAAGGGCTGTTACACACCGCATGCTCATCAGCCATTCATTTTATCTCAAAATGAATTTTGCCGCTCGTTTTAAATAAATTTTTGGCATTTTTATCATTTTATTGATTAAAATAAAAATTTATATAAATTATTAAAAAATTAATAATAAATATATATTGTTCAAAGTATACCTAAATAATTACTTTATAAAAATTATAAAAAATTTAATATTGAATTAAATCACCTAAATTATATCTTTACCAATCAAAGTATACATGGATAATCAGTTTGTAAAATTAAAAAAAATTAATATTAAATTAGTCAATCCAAACTAAATTTGTACTAGCCAAGCAAATGATGAGCAGGTGTTTATTAAAAAAAATAAAAGGGAAAAAGATAATAAAGTCCCATCAAAATATGTAAATGACAATCAAGTCCCTCGAAATGACATAATTCTTCTAAAGCCCCTAGGCACCTTCATGATATTAATGATTTTACATTAAATAACTAAATTATTCCTTATTTAAAATTAAAAAAATAACAAGTTCACATTGAGAAGTTGTAATTTATTACTCAATTCTTACAATTCACACAATAAAAAATTATAACATTTTAAGAAATCTAATTGTCATTTATATATTTCGATAGGATTTTATTGTCATTTTTTCAAAATAAAAATAAAAAGCTTTTAAGTTTGAATGATCCAGATCTCATCATAGATGATATGTAACTCGATGCTCATCCTTGTTGACTGTCAAAGACAATCTAGATTTAATATTAATTTTTTTTCTAATTTTTATAAATATAATATTAAAAATACCTAAAATCTATTTTAAAATGAATGACAAAGATCATTTTGAGATAACATAGATAGCCTAAATCAACCAAATAGTTGATGAGCATGCTGTGCTCATCATGTAGATGAGCACCAAATGCAAACATGTCATAAATTACCACCAATTAACCATTATTAGTTAATGTGAATCACTACTAACACTTATCATTACCCATCACCATTGTTTGCCATAGTTCATTAAGAGTGAAAATAAGTTAAACTTTTATATAACAACTTATAACCTAACCTAGCTTGTTTATCTAAACCTTTTTAACTAAATAGGCTATTTTTAAAACCCGCATGCTTACAAGTCAAGCCTTGCTTATTTAGGCCCTTTTATTTAATATTACACACACACACAATACATTTTATTTATAAATTTAATTTATATTATTATATTTTAATTTACATTCTTTTGGTTGAATGATTAGGCCTTGATGATTTAAGTAAGGTTAAAATTTAATGAAGGTTCTTCAAAGCCTGTTTCTTGAACATTTTTAAAGACCTACTTAATAAGTGGGCTATTAGAAAAGTTTCAAATTCAGTCAAGCTTATAACAGGCTTAAAACAGATTATATACAAACTCAGGCCTTAAGCCTTTGTCACAGGCTTAGGCCTATTTTAAGCAAAACCTAACATGACCTAGCTGATTCCCATCCATACCGTTCACTACCACCAACCAATTACTATCACAAACCACCATCATTAATCATTGTTGACCACCATTATTGGTTAATATTTTTATCTTTAGAATTATTTTCAAATTAACATAGTTAAATAAAATAATATTGAAAATAAAAAGTGAGAATAAAATCAAACAAATCCCCAATAAACTCCATCCAAATATTGTTCGAAAAATATGGCAAAACCATTGACAGGCTGGTTTAGGATTTTATAACTTATTCACGCGTGCTTTCAGGCGGTTTGCAAGGGTAATCATATCCTAGGTTTAAAGATAAAAATCTCGCACCATAGGAAAAATGACACCAATGTATTACTCTGCAGTTTGATTTACACTCACTCAAATATAACTCACAAAACTCGGTGCTAAAAAGCCCTCATTGTCTGCTCCAAGGGGCAAACGACAACGCCAAGATCATACCAGGCACAGTAATCCCCAAGCATTATTTTTCTTCTGTACAGGTGAAAACGAACACGGAAGCACCTCAGAAGACGAAAATGTCAATAGCCAGTCCGGCAAGTAAAATATGTTAATCCTGCAATATGAAATTACCAAGTAATGAAAAGGTAAACCGCCATGGAGAACTTATATTACATCAGTAATGTGTCAATATAAAATATAAAAGTGTGAAGAGCTGCTTTGCTCATAAACTATGAATATTATAACAAGAAGTCTTACATTAGTAGGTAGAGTCTCATAAATTAAAAATAATGCCATCTATTTTGGACTCCATGCAAATGTAAGAGGCCTGCTTTAGTTATATCAATATATTATTAACTGTACGAAATCCATACTACTGACCCACCAGTTAAGTGTTTCTAATATTTATTTACTATTTACTGATGACTGATTTATGAATTATTGATGAGAAATCAGTATCAATGCTTCAATGTAAATCATGCAACTTAATCCTTCAGCTTGGTAGACCATCCTACGCCCCACTTAATTAAATAAGAACAGGAATGGAAACACATGCATTGACTGCACTCCTAATTTCCTATTAGTCTCAAAGATGTACCTGTACAGGTAATGTCTTACACCTTGTACTCCTCCAGATGCAGCCATTTCGTTGAAGACCACTTGTTTCCACTAATAACGGGACAACCACCTGGAAGCATAGATCAATTAACTAAATTTACAAATCCCAGTAATCTTAAAGTTAAAATTGTTTACAGAACAATATCTTGGGCAGTTACTAACCATGTAAACTTGCAGGATCAAGTGACGCATGTGGTCTCATGCTCCAGAAGAGCAGGGCATCACCCATTTTGGGTTTTACAGAGAGACCCTTTTTACCGCATTCAGACAATTCATTCCACCAAGGGACAGAACTAAAATTAGCCTTGGCAGCAGGAAAGACAGTCTCACCACCTTCTTCAACATCTGACCTGAGCCAGAAGCAGAAAGAAAATGAGAGAATAAGAAGTGGGCAACTAAGGGTATGCACAAACTCACCAGAAAAAAGAAAGAAAGAAGCAAAACTGTTATTCGAAAAGAGAACAAGCTTACAGATACATAAGAACAGTAGCAACACGTTGGCCACCATTCTTAGTGTTGAGCTCATCGAGAAAGTAATCATAGTGAGGCTCATATTTCTGCCCAACTTCATAGTGGAGAACCTGAAGCCCTTCTCCATTCTCTGAATAATTTACAGTTAATGAGTAGTCATATCGATCTAGAGCATAGTAAGTAGTATTAATCTATTATACTAGAGAACATAAAATCTCTCAACAAATCAAACAAGAACTAAAGTTACTTAAGCAGTAAACCAGAATGCACCAATAAAGGAAGAAATAAGTTCCACAGAAAGAATGTGATATGCAGTTTTACACAGGTAGCATGCAAGAACTCATACCTACAGGTATGAAGGTAAAGTCAGCTATTCTTTTTTCAATATTTCGGATAATTCTATCCCGTCCTCTCTTCAGAAACATTCCTGAACTAGTCCGCACCCTGCAAGCAGGGATATCGAGAATCTAGCATTACCACTGAAGTACTGATGCCTCATATGCAAGAATATAAACAAAAAAAAAAAAAAAATACAATCACAGTTTTTAGGAACTTCTTAAAAGAGAAGCAATTGTAAACCTGCTGTCTTTACTCTGACCGGTTTGGCTATCAACAACAGTTGATTTTGCCATAAAAGGTTTGGCAAGACTAATCAGGTATTCACATTCTTCTTTTGACTGTTCCAAATGATAATCAAATCAAAATTCTCATAAAATACAGATTTCAACAGCCTTCAACCATGAGAATATAAGAAGTAGAATTTAAGAAGTAAAAGATGGACCACCTACGCAGCCCCTTCTAGAGGCAGAAGATTAGAACATTGAAGGGGCTGGAAAAAAAAAGTAGATGAGGATTATAAAGGGGAAAAATAAGACTGCCAAATAAGCATCACTTAATTTGAGGATTTGTAGGATTTTGGGAACATGTTCCCCACCCCAAAAGGACCCAATGTTGGAGCCCCTCTCCACTTTTCAAACAAGTTAACTTAAACTCATTCATCGTGCATAGCTGCAGGTGATGGTTATACAAATAGGACAAAGAGAACAAGAGAAAGAGGAAAAGATGATGTCAAAGAAAATAGAAAGCAGCAGAGCATAACTCATTCATAATGAAAGTATTTACGAAATTATACCATTTGACAATATATATCATTAATATCTAAAAAGTGTAACCATTTTGTTGTTTGAAAGCCAACATTATTATGGAAAGTTACAAGGAGATTTTAATTATAAGGTTTATTGCTAATTGGTACATTAAACCAAGATACGTGTTCACCAAATACAGACTACCATCCCAGAAATATGCCAAAGAATGCTACATGAAATTAAGCAAATGGCGTAGCACACATTCCTCTATCACACACCTGTAGGTCAACCTGCCACTTGCCTACAAACAGATTTCGTGTTTGATAATATACTGCCTAAATATCTTCAAATTCCGTTCCCCTTTCTGCTTCCTAGCATAAACTGATTTCCTACCTGCTTGATGCTTTACCCCATAGAGACTGACTTACAAGTGCCAAGCAGAAGGTTAACCCCCTCTCCACTAGTAATAGTAACGTGGCGAACGGTATATTACAAACTTAATCCTCCTCCACTAATAAATTACTCAAGAAAAAAAATCCCAAGGAAAATAGCTGAATTCTAAAAAGATAAGAATATCACTAACTAGGACCACCTTATCGCAAGAACCAACGTCCAAAATGGCAAATTGAAAGATGCATCATAACTTGACATGTCCAAAATTTAAAAAATACAGAAAAGAACCAAATGACAGAAAAGCAAAGCACGGAAACCAGAGTTGTGATCGAGTATTGAAAAACGGACCAGGAAATTGTGATAAATGAAAGCTCTAGGCTCCCATGAGAGAACTTCAGTCCACTGCTGCCCTCTTTCTCCCAAGCCGTCACCTCTTCAGAAAGCAACATGTGTGTGTGTGTGTGTATGCATATATAAAGATGCATTTTAGTAAGAGAAAGCACGAGAGTGAATAGAAACAAGTTCCAGGTAATGATATAAAAGTAAGGCAGATAGAGGATAATACCTTTCAGAGATCTTGCGCCTGAAAGCACTGAGGTCAGTAGGCAGAGAATCGTCAGTGATCGGAAGAGAAACGATTCCGAGAGCGAGTAGCATGAGAAGGACAGTGGAGAGCATGAAAAGCATGAAGAAAACCAGGGTGAAGATAGACCATTTCTTGCCCTGTGACCTTGCAAACTTTCCCCTCGCCATGACCGAATCGACCCAAAACCCTAGAACAAAGAACGACTAACTCAAACAAGCCACACAAGAAGCATTCCACTCCCAGGCCATACAAGAATGCAATTCAAGCTTGTTATTCTGAGGTTGGCAGAGGTAGGTACTTATCCCTCAGCTAAATTCGCGCAATCAGTGTCAGAATGGAAGTTTTCTCGCAGGACTTGTGCCTTGCAAAAACTAAAAGCAGTACATAGCCATTTAATGATCTGCGCTTGTTTGTAAAGCTGTTTTGAGAATAATTTTTTATTTTTTAAAAATAATAATAATAATAAAATAAAAATAATAATAATAATAATCCTTTAAAATATATAAATCATAATTTAATCTCTTAAAATATTATAATTTTTTAAAATTTTTTAAAAATTTTTCTATCAATAATAAATTTATATAAATTATTAAATTATTTTTATTAAAAATAAATAATTTATAAGTTTTATTTAAATATTTATAACTTCTTTTATTATATTTACAATAACGTAATAACAAATTATAACTTTACATGTTAAATTTTTTATTTACTGTTATATTATTGTGACTATAAAAAAATTATGAACATTTAAATAAATTTTTTGAATTATTTATTTTCAATAAAGGTAATTTAATAATTTATATAAATTTATTAATAAAAAAAGTCCTAAAAATTTTACTAAAATATGACATTTTGAGATATTAAATTATCATTTATATATTTTAGAAAAATTTTATTATTATTTTCTCAATTAAAAACCTCATCTGTAACATATTTTTAAAAAATATTTTAAAAAACAAAAAAATTAAATATCATTTTAAAGAAAAAATGAATTTAAATATTGTGAAATTATTATTTTATTTTTATTTTTATTTGTATTTGATTGGCGTTTTATAAGACATGTTTTGAAATAATCATAAAGCAAGTACAGGACAGAAAAATTAAACATCTTTTTCTTTCATTTTTAAAATATATTTTTTAATTTTTTAACTTTATATAAAAACTTATTTTAATTTATTATTATCATAATTAATCATTTAATCCTAAAACTAGTAATTTTGTCACAATAAATTTTTACATCAAACTTTTAAATATTAATAAAATATTTTTAATTATTAATATATTAAATTTAATTTTTAAAAATAAGAATGATTGATATAAAAAATATCATTCAAAACGAAAGGTGTTAAGGTTAGAAAATTGATATTATACTTTATAAAATTAAGAAATTAAATTAAAATATTATATAAAATAAGAAGATTAAAAATATATTTTAACTGCTTTTCATAAAAGCACAGCATTTCTTAAATCACTCTTAAACACTGTTTTAAAAATTGGACTGGATCGGACGGTTGGACCGTTGACCGATCTGATTTCCTATCTAGTTCATAGAAAAAAATTATTTTAGGAGTTGAGTCAGATTGAGCTATTTTAAACCGACGATCGGATCGGGAATTGGATCTGATTTTCAAAATCGGTCTGTTCAAAAAAAAATTTTTTTATTTTTATCAATTTTTTAAAAAAATGACTAATTTTTTTAATTGTTTGATATTATGTTGTATCATGTGGCTTCTTAAGTCATGATAAACTTAAAATATTTGATTTTTTTAAGTTAAGTAGCAATTTCATATGTATTTCTTATATTTAAATTATTATATACATATATAATTTTTTTAATTTAATTATTACATCACCAATTGGACTAATGGTCTAACCAGTTGAACCATGCGAATCGTGAACCGCTGACTTTTTCGGTTCAATGTTCGGTCCGGTTCTAAAAACATTGCTCTTTACTCCTAAATTTAGACACTTTACTTTTTTCTTTTCATACATTTATAGAAATTACTCAAATATATTTATACATGATATAAAAATTTTAACATATCAAACTCTATATAAATTACAGTAGACAAATTATTTGGATTTAAATCCTTTAAATTTAATATTTATATACTTATGTAAAGTTTTTCTTTTTTTAGTATCTTTGCTCATTTTATTATTTTTTATAATATATAATATTTTCTTTCTTTTTCTTTGAAAAAAAAAGAAAATTTTATAAAATTTATGGATTCTCAACTTGAATTTAAATCCTAAATATTATGCCCTTCTTTTCTCATTTTTAACATTAATATTAGATATTAATGGTTGAAGGATTATAGATAGAAGCATAAAGCATTATGCACCCAAATGAATAAAATATATTCCCTTATTTCCTCTTCCAATTCTTCTTGTCTTGCTATTCTTTTTTTTTTTCCTAGTCTCTTTCTCTTTATTTTATAACATGTTATCAACATAGCACTCTACCAAATTAGTTCATGGTATTTTGTTGATACTTATTGAGTTGTGTTCATTGTGTAATGACTTTTGTTACTCACCAACTCTAAACTCATCTAGTAAATAACTCTTATAAGTAAGGATCAACCATGGCAGTGATTTAGTAAATCAAACCCTTGAAGGAAATTTTTACAACTCTCGAAATCCCAAAAAATCATTTGAAAATAATATATTTATATATTATACTAGTAATAGTTGAAATCACTTTAAATTAGAGAAGAAAAAGATCATGAAAACATGAGGAATAAAAGAGAGTAAAACAAATATTTCCACAAAGCTGTGCTCATCCACCATGGCTAAGAAATCACTTGCCGTGTTAGTCATTGTGGCCAACTTCAAAATCCAATGCGATTAACCTTACACACCCCAACCGTTGTGACCATGCCTGTAACATCCCAAAACTTTAAACTTGATTAATTAGGCTAAAGAAGGATAATTAAGTAAATTAATGTGGTGTGTGGTCAAAGAGAGCTAATGAGTGTCTTAGGTTGTGGTTTCAATCTTAGATTTGAATTTGAAGTGAAGACAGTTTACTTGGACATTAAAAAAGGGGAGAAAACAAAGAAAATTTTCTCTCTACCACATGTCATGGTGCATTTAGTCAAAAACCAAGAAAGACCATCTTTGTACCATATGTTGTGACTTGTGGAAGAAATCTAATAGAAGTAAGAGTGTGATTCAGCTTGAAAAACAAAAGGAGGAAAACAGGTTTGAGTGACAGAACAAAGGAGAACGCCAAGAGTTTTGCTAGAGCTTAAAGATTCAAAGCTTTAGGAGATTTTTATAGCTTTCAATAACTTGAAGCATGTAACATCCTAGAAATCTAGCTTGGAAAGAAGCTTCAAAAGTGGTTATATTAAAGGGTAAACCTTTAACCTCTCAAAGGTTTGAGATAATTAGGAAAAACATAATTTGTATAGTTGTATGCTAATTAATTATTTATTAAAATTAATGATTTTAAGCTTGCTTAATATGTGAAAAATATTGATGTAATTTACTAATTTTAGCAATATGATAAGTTTGTGAGATAGTTTTAGAAATGAAAAACTTTATACATGTTGCATAACTGTGATTAATGATTATGATACAAATATGGTATTTGACGTATGGAATATAGTGAGTATGTAAGTGAGGATATGTGAATTCATATGAGATAAATTGTCAACTAGATTGCATAATGTGTATGTTATGTATAGCATGATCATTAACGAAAGTTCACTTAGGGAGAGGAGTAGTTTAGTAAATCTATATAGTATTGGTAGCTTATCGTTAGAATCGAAAGGTAGCTTTTATCCCATGGTTAATTCGAGACTGTCTCGCCTGTTCTATAAGGGACTTGAATATAATTAGCCTCTACCAGTTCATGAGAAGACTAGCTTAGAGGTATAACATCCCATGATTGTTAGTATTAAGAAAAACCATAGTACACAAGTAAGTGAGTTAATCCTAGCCTGGTAGCTCCTCATAAGTGAAAGGTTAGGTTAGTCTGAGTTATGGATGAAGCCACTTAATAGCCATCGGTTTCACATCAGAGGTGACAGGAAGGTATAAGGCTGGCATTTGATCATGTATTTAGCTTCAGCCACATGATTGTTATCATTATGGTCTGGTATGTTAAGGGCGTATGGTTGTTAGTTTTGTGACCCTATGTTGTGCATAATATATATATATATGTGCATGATGATATGTATTTTATACTCGATTACATGGTTGTTATTATTGTGGCTGTGGCTATATTTGTTATGCATGCGTTATACGTGTGTTTGTTGCTAATTGCATCTATTTTTAATTGATATGCAATTGTATAGATTAGGTGAACCTTAGTTACTGAGTGGTTGTATTCATCTCTCATTCTTCAATATTTTCAAGGCTTAGTTCATCAAACTGAGATCAGGAAAAAACATACTAACACTTAGGATTATAGTGTAAATCCTATTTGTATGCCTCCCTATCTTATTTATTTGTATTTATGTTATTGAATTGCCAACTAGGATTCATTCATCAATTTTTATGCTACTTGCATTATAATTGTGTAAATCTTGCGTATTTTGTGCCCTGGGTTAGTGAGTCATAGTTGTAAACCTTGCTTAAGTCCAAAATACTTGTGCAAGTAGTATAAAGTGTATTTTAGGATATTTTGATATGATATTGATGATTTTGTGCAAAAATTTTCTCTCCCTTGTGTTTTGTGAAATTTGGGGTTAATTGGTAAATTTACATTATATGTGTATTTGATAGATTGTGGCACGTTGCATGAGTCCTAAATGTCTTTTGAGTATGGTAAAATAGTTGGTGTAGGCTTTTGGCACTTATGTGTGACTTTAGACATCCCACTTATGTATAATAGTGAAAAGGGTTTCAATGTCTAACTTTTGATAGAAAATAAATTGAATTGTAGAACTTATGTCATTAGCTAGAGCTAGGAGAAAGTTATCTATGGATATCAAAATCACCTTAATCGGACATCAGATGAAGATTTAGAATGCCTTAAAAGTTTATCCCTATGCTGTCATTTGACAGCAAAAGTTTGCTACTATAACTCATGTAATGTGCTATGGCGCATGGCGCCTCACGCTGTGGTACATGGCACAGAGACATGCACACCTCGACTCATGTGCCATTTTTGGCATTATTTCACTGATTTAATTTATTATGTGAATGGTTTGGTTTTTCTTAATTCCCAAGCTTCCACATTATTTTAAAGCTGATTTAAGATTGTTAAAAGTGTATAGGAGTATTTTAAATGTTGAAAGTCTTGGGATCCCATTGCAATTGTTTAAAATTGTTTCTTCCATTTGCAAATTGTTAAAGCTTGATTATCCTAAATGGTGTAACTTATCAAATTTATTAATCACATTGATTTAGCAGAG